AGAATAGCATATTTCAAGAGCTTCCCTGTTCAGTATTAGTGAAATTAACTAGGATGCATATATATAAAGATAGAAAAGGAATTAATGCAATTAACTTTTATTTACTGGAGGCCTATTTATTTGGTTTTCCCTGAATCTTACCTTTTCTTTGTTTTTTTGCGGTACTGGGGATCGAACTGAGGAACTTGCGCTTGCCAGACAGGCACTTATGCCGCTGAGCTATATCTCCGGCCGTGGCCCTGAATCTTTTCTAATCACAGTTTTACCTATTTTTCACTTTGGCCTTCGAGTGGTTTCATTTATCTTTGTGGTTAGGGAAGATTAGGTATGGAACTTTTAATTAAAATTTCTTAAAATTATGCCCTTTATTTACCAATCAAGTTAGCCTTAAAAGAGAAGGGTATGTAATGTGTATGAATTAATCCCTTTCTTTTCTTTTCCTTTTTGTTTTTGTTTTGAGCCTGGGTCCCACTGTGTTGCCCAAACTAGCCTCAAATTCCTAGGCTCAAGCCATCCTGCCTCAGCCTCTTGAGTAGCTGTGGTTATAGTCATGTACCATTAGGCCCAGCTTAAATTTACTTTTTGAAGAATAAACTAATTTTTTCCCTTTCATACAGTATATATCAAAACCCTATCTCAAAAAAAAAAAAAAACAAAAAAAAAAAACCCAAACAAATGAAAAGTTGAAAGATATTAACAAACCTTTGATTTTCATTTAGCTAATCTGTAAGTCAGGAAAAAATAAAGCATAGGTCTGCCACAGGTCTCTTACAGTGTACCCCAACACAGGAGAGCAGTATTATTTCCTGTGTATGTCTTTATTTGGAGTACATGGTAAGAATTTTCCACATGCTCAGCTCAATGTAAGAAGGCAATTATTTATTTCATTGAACTCTGTATCATAATATCTAATATCTATCACTTTGTAAGTATTAAGTAAGATACAGTACAAGTACACACCTATCCAAAAGAATGTTTTTAATAATGTGTCTTAATTAATTTCAGTTATTTTATGTTAGGGAGACTGTCAGAGTATCAGAATCACCATTTTTTCTCTTTTTCCTGAAAAAGCTGTTAAAATGGTAATTGTAAACAGTTATTGAAACTCACATTAGTTGTTGATACAGCCAAGCAGTCCACCTTACATGTTAGAGAACAAAGGGATGTTGTTGTAGGTTGATTACAGGATGTTTATAGCTAGTCCTGAGTTTTTCCTATGTGTATAGCAGAGAAATTTCATAGTTCAGGTCATTGAGAGGAAAGGGTATGCTGGTATTTTGAGGGATTTACAATATGCTGCTTTAAAACAAAACATGGAGCATCTCCAGACAAGGGGTTGCTCTAGATAACCAATCAGGTGATTACTTTTTCTATTGTTTCCCAAGTTTTATGCAAAAAATTTGTTAAATTCTGTAATGGTGATATGTATCTTTTAAGAAAAAAAAAAGATTAAAAAAACCTTTTATGTAAAAACTGACAAGAATTTGCTTTGTATAAAGCAAGCCGAGCTGGCTTTAAGAAAGCACTGTAGCAAATTTACTACAAGTTCAAAATTATATAGATATGTCAATAGATAGGATGACAATTGTATTTTTTTAATAAATATTTTTAACAAAATGCTTTTCTGAATGGAGTATTCATTTCCTTTCTCTCACATTCATTGAAATAAGTCTCTGGGTTACATTTTAATCTATGGCTCAGGAAAGAACTCAGCTTTACAGTGGTGGTTGTTGAAACCTGGTCTTCAGCTGCTCCACTTTAAAATATTCAAAGCCTAGCTTGGGATGTGGGGCACAGGGGATGGCTGTGAAATGACCATTGGGGGGAAAAAAAAAGACCATTGGCATAAAGAGAATTAAAAGAGAACTGACTGACTGCAACATGATGAAATTATTGGTCATGTAAAATCTCTTTAACAGCATTTTAAGGGGTTTTTAAAAATTTAATCAAATGGTTTCTTTTGACAGGAGCGGCTTTTGCTTATTTTTCTTCTATTGCTGTTTGTTTTTTCTTTTCTTTTTTCCTGTATTTTAGGGAAGGGTCTACAGGGTGATCATGGTCTTACTACTTCACTGTTTCTTTGTATGATTTTTTTGAGATCTGCAATTGGAAACTTCAGTTTATTTATCAAATGGGCCTTTTCCGCCAGGCGTGGTGGCGCATGCCTATAATCCCCAGCACTTGGGAGGCCAGCCTGGGCTACATAAGCAAATTCAAGACTAGCCTGCACTACATAGGAGACTCTGTCTCAAAATAAAAACTGAAAAAAAAAAAACCTAAATAAATAGCTGTACCTAGTTGAAGCCACTATGTATTTCTAACCTTTCCACTAGTAACACTTCCTCTTTTAAGGACATGCTTAATTCTGAAGTGTTTTCTGTGTTTAATACATGCATATAGTGGCACCCTGATACTCTTAACATTGTCACTTTGCAGGGCTGGCATCATCAGATAGGAGCTGATCATGGACAGTTACAGAAGCTCAAGTTGCATGTCCTTACACAGTACTGTATTGCACCTTGTGACAGAAGGGGGTCCATGAAAGTGGCCCCAGTCACTGAGGTATAAGATAGCAGCATATAATAGTAATGAAGGAAAAGGAGCAAAGTTCTCTCAGGCTGTGCAGGTCAGTGGCACGCCCTGTTGCTTCAAGGTTGCTGGAGTGCCACACAATATTTTGTAACTCCTGTGTGTTTTTGTTTACCGAAGCCCCTCTCTGGCCAGGGTCCCATTCTGTGTTGCCACCATCTGTGGTGGCTTTTCAGCCCCTGTTGGGCTTCACATTTTTCTGTCTCCTTCCTAAGATGCTTTTTGCATTCCTTCCAAGAAACCTCATTTTCTCCTGTATTTCCTATGTTGGCTTCTCTCAGTTGCTCTGTTGGGTCCGTCCTTTTCTAAATCTTCAGGTGTTGAAGATCCCAGGGCTCAATCTTATCTCTGCATTTAATTCCTAGATGGTTTTCTTCAGTCCTGTGGCTTTGAACAATCTATGTGTATGTGCTCCCAGTATTTAGATTTTTATTTCTGACTTGTCTTTTAAGCTCTAGATTTCTGTATCTGTCTTCTGGACATCCAAGATAGCATCATAAAATGATCATGTGCAAAGCAAAACGTAGCTCTTGAGAGCTTCAAGGCTTTTCAGTGTTAAATAGTCTCATCATATACTCAGTTACACAGGTCAGATGCCTAGGGGTCTTGATTTCTGGCATTTTTAAAATTTTTGGAGGGAATGATTCTTGAGAAAAGGTGTCACTGTGGAATTCAGGCTGGCCTTCAACTCACTGTGTTCTGCAGGCTGGCCTTGAATTTTCAGCCCTCCTACCTTAGCTTCCTGAGTTCTGGGTTTATAGGCCTACCCTACCATGCCCAGCTCCATCTTTTATACCAACACTCAGCTGGGCATGTTGGTGCACGCATGCAATCCCAGCCCTTGGGAGAGTGAGGCAGGAGAATCATTGTGAGTTTGAGACCAGCCTGGGTTTTACAAAGTGAGCTCAAGGCCAGCCTGGACTGCTTAGTGAGACCCTGTCTCAAAAGATAAAACTCGGGGCTGACGAGATGGCTCAGTGGTCTAAAGCACCTACTTGGAACAAGCTTGGCAAAGCACAGGGACCGCGGTTCGATCCCCCAGCACCACATGCCAGCCAGCCGCGCCCCCTGGTGGGCTGAGCTGGCCACACACACACACACACAATAAATAAATAAACTTTAAAAAAAAATAAAAAAAAAAAAGATAAAACTCGCACACAAACCTATACTCAATTCACAAGTTCTCTCAGCTTGACCTTCAGAATACAGTTTTGTTACGACTACTCGACTACTTCACGCTACCAACGTGGCCCAGAACACCACTCTGTGTTCCAGTCTGACAGTCCCTACGCTGCTCTCCCAGGCCCATGCTTGCCATGCAATAACAACCCAGGAATTAGTGAAAACATGAGCACCAACCATGTCACTTCCTTGCTCGCAATTGTGGTGACTTCACATCACGCACAAGTTGCCCACACTCGGAGCCACACTCAGAGCAGTGGGGCATCTTGAGCTGGCCCCAGGTAGCACTCGGCGTCCTCCTAAAGTCATCCTTCCTCACTGCACTTGCACCGCACCACCTGCCTGCCCCAGCAACTGCCACTCTAACTTTACGGCACATAATCCAGTCTAGGCTCTTGTGCCTGCGCCCTGCCTAATAGGTCCTCTTCAGGTCCTGGATGGCTTGCTTCTTCTGAGCAAGCCTGCCATGCATCTTGACAGTCTGCTTATTTTTCATATGGGATTGTACTGCTGGTCACCCTGCTGCTTACTAGGTGTTTTTTACTGTCTCCGTGTTTCCACCCTCAGCGTCATCCTTGTGAGGCAGGGACCCCCCCCCCCTTTTTTTTTTTGCAGTACCAGGGATTGAACTCAGGACACTGCTTGCCAGGTAAGTGCTTATTTTACTGAGCTATCTCCTCGGGCCCTGAGGCAGGGACTCTTAACTCAGGACTAAAACAGCACTTAGATCAGAGCTGGTGCTCAGTCAGGTTCTCAAATGAATAAAAGAATTCTCTGCAGCACACCCAACCTGTCACTCTGTGCATATAGTGAATCTGTGTACTCTTGGGTTGGATCCCCCTCATCCAGCCAGTAAGATTATGGGATCAGGGCAGCTTCAAAGCACTCTGAAATGCTGAACTTTTGCAAGAAAGGAATTTAGGAAAAAAGAGCCCTTTACTTGCTTTGTAACTGACTTTGAACTGTGGTGTGAGACCCTATCTAACCTATTAAGTTATCTGGAGGAGAGAAGAACTCTCAGCCTTAGGTGTAGGAGTTTCCTTCTAAGAATCAGCTGAGGGCTGGGCTGTAGCTCAAGGGTTCTTGCCTGGCAGGTGAAAGGGCCTAGATTCTGTCCCTAGCGCTGCACAACCCCAAACCAAATGAAAACGCCTATGAGCCACGTGAACCTGCTAGTTTTAGTGCTTGCAAACAAGAGTGAGGTGTCATTCATAACATAATACACTTCATACATTTAAAATACTTTATTTTAGGAAAGGTACTCTTAGATTTTTGTCTTTTCTGTATTAACAAATTAATTACAATCAACTTAGATATACCATTGATTTTCTTTCTAAATCTGTATAAAAAGGGTGTTTTCTTGAAAAAGCACAAGAAAAATAAAACTTCCTTTCTGCCCAGGCCAGTCGCTACTGTTAGACTGCATTTTTAAATTTGATTAGCATCTAATACTTTTGAAATATTTATTGACACAGTTAAAACTATGCCCCTACATCACTGACCAGTTTTCCTAAGAAGCCAGATCTGTTTTACATGTATGTACCAAACAAATGAACAATTTCTAAATTGCTTCTGAGGAGGTCTTTAAAATAAAGGTTACCAAAATTTATTAATTTCTAGGTCAGGCATATATAGCAAGTGCTTTATACAAATTCACTTAATTCTCTTATTATTCCTATGAGGTAGGGTACTTTTAGAAATGTTAGTTTCCTGGTTTAAAAAACAAAAGTGAGGTTGGAAGTACCTCACAGGTAGAAGGCCAGGCAGCAGCTGATCTGGATTTCTCTCCAGCCAGATTATCGTCACTATGGGCTGGTGGTGGTGGCGGGGGGAACTGACAGCCTCAACACAGGTCCTCGAGAAACCTTTCAGCATCAGGTGGGCTTGGTAGGAACCACGATCTACTTAGGTTTTGATGCATACCTGTACTTTGGTATATATATAGTACAGGTCACCCAAGTACTGTAACCGCTCTCCACTTCCACCAGTCGCAAAATACTTCCCTGTTTCCTGCAGCCTCAGTCCTCCTCTGGCCCTGTCTGAGCTGGGGAGTCTGCATTCTCTCTATTATGACCCACTTCGTTGCATAGGAGCCCAAAGTCCTAGGCAGGGTATACTGCTTTCGGTACAGGATACAGCTTGAATTGTTCAGTAGTCCCAGACCTTGACATGCTAAAAAAAAAAAAAAAATGTTTCCTCTATAAAAGATGTAAAATTTAGAGGAGATAATTTTGGAAATTCTTAGTATTGGTTATACCTTTTACATGGCTAGTCAAGTGTCAGGAAAACAAAACAGCCATCTCATTGTCTTAGGTGATTTCTGGGACAGTCAGCATTGATAGATACATAGGGCAAAAGCCCTGATTCCTAGCCTTTGCCGGTTTCGGTGGTATAAATACTCCCTCCGTGGTGGGTCTGAAGCTACCAGCGTGCCTCTCAAGAGGGCTGGGAAGACGGGCCCAGCAGATGCCAGCCCCAGCTGCCACACAACTCCAAGGGCCTCACTACAGTAAAACTAAGAAGTGATAAGTTTTGACTATTATAAGTTAATTTAATTTTAATCACGGTTGCATTTGACAACCAGCTCTCAAAATAAAAATTTACCAATCAGCTTTTCTAAGCTGGCTGGAGCTAGCCAGACATACCACTGAAGTGATGTCCCAAAGAGGATGGCTCAGCCTCTCCTTTTGATGTCCTCCAATACAGATAACCTGTTCACAGTGGGCATGGGGAGACTCTGGACTCTTAGTAGAAAAGACATAGATTTTTTTTTAACATGCCAGGGAATAACAGAGTTTGTTTTGATTGATTTAAAATATATCTACATATAGCAATGATCATTAAGCTTTGCAATTTCAGCCTATTTTTTTCAAACTTCAACTAAGAGTGATCTCAAACCCAGGGTATGGTCCATGCATAGCTGCCTTCTGCCCTCCCAGCTCGGTGTCCTGGACAGCTCTTTCCAAAGCCAAACCAGGGGAGCCAAAGGCAGTTGGAATCAGTAGGTAGGCAAGCCTCTAATGATTTGCCAGGGGGAGACCCAGGTACCCAGACAATGCCTTCTACCCAACTGAGAATGAGTGGAGACGATTCGAGCAAAGGTAGGTCTCCCGTGAGCTTCAGCTTCCTGCAGAAGTACGGTTGCCTCAGTGCTCAGCAGCTGGAGGTCTTTCTTGCCTCTTAGCAGCCACTTTCACCTCTGGTAGCACTCAGGGCTCTCCATCCCCAGTGGTTTGTCTTGGGTAGGAACTATGGAAGACAAAGGCGTATAAAACAGGTAGCATGTCTTGGCAGCTCCGACTGCTAGCAGCAATGATTCGTTATGAAAGCTGGCACAGCTCTTTGCTTTGGCACTGTTGCTGGATTCGCCCCAGGAGAGGTCAGGACTACTACTCCCACAGACTCATGGGGGCCGGTTCCTTGAGACTAGTGCTGAGGGTTGAAGAATCCTCAATTTATTTTTGCCTTCCATGAAAAAGGAACACGACTATTGTTATTCATGTGATATTCAGCAGCTGTTAATGGAACTGAACATGTATCTTAAATGAAGGTCTGTGCTGACTGTTAGCCTAGACAGTGAGGAGCTCCAGCCACCTGAGAAGCACAGGTGTGCTTGGTGCTGTTTCAGGGGTGCTCCTGCACTTCTGGCCTTGCACTGAGGGATGAGGGGAGTGTCTCTGATGGGAAGGAGGACTGAGGATGCCTGTTCCTTCAGTCTTTGTGGGGACTGCAGCCTATGGGGAGTCCAGGATGGGATGGGAAGGGCTCAGGGCTATGAAGGTAGCACTGGGATTCCCCCTGCCCAGGGTCTCCAGGAGGGAGGCTACTTTGAGAGGTGGATTGGTCCAAAGGACTTCTTTTCTTTAATGTGTTTGGTTGTTACAGGGTCTCACTATGTAGCTTGGGTTCATAATGATCCTCCTGTTTTGAGCCTCCCCAGTACTGGGATCATAAATGTGCACTGCTACACACAGACTCTGTGGCCAGCTTGGCCTACCCTGGGGGCTGGGCTGGCATGACGTGGTGCCAGTGCTTGCCTGTGCTTGCCTAAGCTTGCCTAAGCAGGCACTTTAGTCCACTGAGCTATCTTGCTGGCCCAGGACTTCTTTTTGAAGAGATTTGGGCCAGAGTCAAAATCCCCAACTGGAAGGTAGCTAATTAGGCCGCTGGGCAGAGCTCCAGCAGGGAGGCAGGCTGTGTGTCCCTGTCCCTGAACAGGCTGGAGAGTTTTGGCCCATGGTTTCCCAGCACAGTGGGATGCAGGAAGCCAGGGTCACAATGCATGCCCCTCTGCTCACGGAGGAAGCCTGAGCCAGGCCATCCGACTCTCGCTGGCCTTAGGAGCCCAGCAAGAACAATCACAGGGAAGGCAGGAAGAGGAGAAAGGAAGCTGGAGAAAAATAAACATTTCCTTGCATTTTACTTGGAACCAAATGGCACTTCTGCCGTGCTAACATAGCAGGCTCTCCCCACCCACCCTGCTCCATTTTCCTTCTCTTTGTGTAGAGAGATTCTTTCCCTACCTGCTGGGAGTCCAGGGTGCATCCTGTGGGAAAACAGGAGCAAGACATAGAAGGTAAAAGCCAGGCAGCCAAAGATCACACCACAGACCAGGAAACTATAGCTGCCCTGGGCCTGGAATATCTGCCAAAGGGAAAACAGAGATGTCAGCCATTAAAGCGCCACATGGAAGGGGCCCCACAGGAAGCTGGCTGCCCAGTCAAGGTGAGGCCTCATGCTAGTGGACAGGAACACAAGGACGGACATCTCAGCCTCGTCAAGGTTATACACAGCTGGGGGAAACCAGTCCTGCCTGATGGATGGGGCTGCATTGATGTCCCCCTGTAGTCTTCCAGCTCTGTTTTGGGGCTTGCTGAAAATCACCATTGAAATGGCAGTCACGTAAGATGTTTTTATACTTTAGGCCTAACTTGAGCTTTGCAGAAAATACATGTTTTTAACTTTATTATCAAAACTAAACACATATCAAAGGAACATGTGAAAAAAAAAATGTTAAAAGGGCTGGGGAGATAGTTCAGCGGTCCAAGTGCCTGCCTGGCAAGCACAAGGACCCAGGTTCCAACCCTGGTACTGCATGCCATTGCCGGCCCCAGAATCCTGGGTGTGCCATGCTGGCCCCAAAACCAGGCATAGTACCACATGCCTGTAATCCCAGTGCTGGGGAGGCTGACACAGTAGGATCACTACAAGTCCAAGCTGTATAGCAAGATCCTGTGCCAAATTAAATAAATAAATCAGTAAAAAAAATAAATAAAAAGCATGTGGAACTCCCATACCAACTCATCACCTCTATCAATCAGGGCCAATTTCATTTGTAACTTTCCACTTTATTCCTGCACTAGATTAATGTTTTTTTTTTTTTTTTTTTTTTTTTTTTTTCATCACAAATAGGACTTTATTTATCACTATTAAAAATCTGGATCTTAAACGGACTCTTGCACTGGTGGTTCATATCCATCAGCTCGTTCAACTTTAGCTCCAGTCTCATCTCCAGTAGCCTTTCCAGAGCTGCTACCTTCACCATGAAGCTCCATGAGTTTTCCCAATTCAAACTTGGGCTTCTTCAGCATTTTTACTTTTCTGACGAAGACATCATGAAGAGGGTAGATAGATTGGCAAGCCTTTTCTATGTCTTTCCCAATACTGTCTGGAATCAGTTTATTGACCACTTCCTTCAAGTCATTTGTCTGCACCTCCCGGGTCATGATTTCCATCATCTTCTTCCGGATCTGGCGGACCTGCTGGTGCTGAGCGTAAGAGGTCTTCCGTATCTGATTGTTGCGTTTTTTAGTAAAGCCAACACAGAACAGTCGAAGCAAATAACCATCGGTAGTCTTGACATCAACATGAGCTTCGATCATGGTCTGCCGTTTTTTGACCATGGAACACATTTTGTCCCGGGTGAGGTCCATGCCATGGAAGTTAGTCAGGCAGTTTTTGCCCTGAACATCTTCAGTAATTAGCTTGAATTTTCTAAAGGCAACTTCATCATTCTGCAGGTCAGCAAGGCTCACTTCAAACACACGACCTTTGAGCCCATCAGATGCAATTTTGGTTCCTTGGGTTCTGGTGACGAGTGTTTTTCCAATATTTCTTATGTTGAACATAGCCGGAGCCTTCACATCATACCAGTCTTTTTTAGAAAATGGATCAACCACTTTCTTCTTGGCTCCTTTTTTGCCGCCTTTCGTAAGGCGCTTGTTCTTGCCTACCGCCATGGTGCTGCTCAGAGAGACTAGATTAATGTTGAAACAAACCCTAGACCTGGAGCATTTCAGTCCAGAGGGCATCATGAGATGCAGCTCACCCCTCCTCCTGGCAGAGCAAAAGGAAATACACAGAGAATGGCCAAGTGATGGGACTTTGGAGACCGAAAGGCTTGGGTTTGATGTCATCACTGTCATTAAAAGTGCAATTAATCTAGCGCAGGTTGCTAGTGTGTGTGGGGTTCAGTATCTCCTAGCATAACAAGGGGAACAGTATCTACATTGGGCATAGCAAAGCAAATATTAAACCAGGTGTGGCTGGGGCCAAGGAGATAGCTCAGTGGAATAAGTGCACAAGGTCCTGAGTTCGATCCCTAGTACTGCAAAAAAATAAAATAAACCAGGTATGGGAGCTGGTGAGATAGCTCAGCAATATAAGTGCCTGCCTGGCAAGTGCAAGGTCCTGAGTTTGATCCCTAGTACCACAAACAACAACAACAACAACAACAACAACAACAACAACAACAATGAAATCTAATCTACTTCTCAGAGATCTTTTCACCTGTAAGAACAGATCCAGACCAAAATCAGGTCTCCAAACACGGAGGGCTGACAGTATGAATGTCATCACTGCCATTTGCTAAACCAGGTGTGTGTGGTGGCACAGCCCACACACCCAGCCCTCAGGAGGGTGAAGCAGGATTGTGAGTTCAAGCCCAGCCTGGTTAGCCGGGTTAGAAACACCATAAGATTGTCTCAAAATAAAAAGGGTCTGGGGATGTGTTTTGTGTTTGTTTCGCTCTGTGAAAAAGGTAGGTGTTTATGTGTTTCCTAGTGAATGCAAGCGTGCTGGGGCAGAGGCGGGGAGAGGGTGGGGTCGGAGGGTGTGGTCCTGGGGCAGCCTGGCTGCAGGCGGGCAGTGTGGACAGGAGAGGGAAAGGAAAAGGAACTGAGACTGCAGCTTGCACTGCTCTGCGCTCTGAAAGCCCAGCCACACTCCCCTGGGTCCCCTCTGGCCCTGGTCCCAGGCACAGCCTGTTTGCTTTGGCCTTGTGCGCACGTCTATTTGTGTCTCCAGATCCCACATGCGGAGGCCCTGCTTTTTAGCTGGGTTCCACGGGACTAGGAAGCCCACGGCTCGGCTCGGGCTGGGAAGGTGGCCGCTGTATCGGCTCGCTTGCCTGGAAGAGGGCTCTCTACCTGTCCCCCCACCAGAGGGCTCCACATACCAAACCAACCAGCATCTGTAGGGCCATCTCGCCAAGGCCAGCCCCTGTCACCAGCACTGTGGTCGCACAACCTAACAAAAAGAGAAGGGTTTGGCTGGGTGAATGGGGGTAAGGACACAGGAGTCAGCTGTCATAATCTTGGGAAAGCTCTGAGAGATGGCATGGCTAAAAGGACTACTCTGGATTCTTAAGACTTCTTGGACTTTGCTTTGGGCATGCTCCCGTCCTACAGTCCTAATGTCCCTTCCGTTACTCTCATGCAGTCTATCTCCTTGCCCTGTCAGAGACTGCTTAGTTTTTGCAATGGGGCACCAAGGGAGGGGTGCACTTTCCAGGATGATCAGAGAACCTTCCTGGAAGAATGGGGAGAGGGCAGAGCAGATAGACAAAAGGGGCAGGGACAGAAGAGAAGACAGTCCAGGCAGAGGTGGCGCTGGGTGCCAGAGCATGGAGGGCACAAGGGTTTCTGTAGCATCAAGGAGATCCCTGTAACTCCTTGTGGGCAGAAGGTGCAGAGCCCCAGGGAGAGCGGAGGCTCAAGGAGAAAGGCTCCACGGAAAGACAGGAAGTCGTGGGTGGGCGCGGGTGCTTGACTGCAGTCCTGAGGCCCCTGCAGCACTGTGGGGGCGCTTGGGAAGGGGCCTCAGGCCTGGCTGCACAGTAGAATCGTCTAGCAGTGGAGGCCCAGTCCACGGTCTTGTTCGTTACTCTTAAGAGCTCACATTGGCTCCAAAGCTGAACCAGCCAGGTCACAGAGGGGCAAAGCAGGACCCAAGGAGATAAGCTGAACTCCTGAGGCAGGGATGGGTGATTTGAATCTGGGGAAAGTGGATGCCACTGAGTACTCCAGGCAAGTGAGTAAGACTCGACCTTAGGCAAGGACAGTGAGAAATGCAAAGAAGTGGGCTTGAGTGGTTTTCTGCAGGCAGAACCAATCCATCTGACATCACTGTTGAACTCTAACATTTGTTGATCACATAAAACTCTATAGCATATACTCTGGCATGCAGTGACATTTCACTACTCATTTATCCCCTCAAGGATTAGGTCCGAGCACTCAGACCAGGACCCTGGGAGGAGGGGGTCCCTGGGCTGCTCTAGGACAGTGGGAGTGGGGCGGGGGGTGGGGTGGGAGACCATCTCCTCATCACATCTCCTGCCCTGCACAGCTCGGAGATGGGTGGGTGACCACCACCTGGCAGATGTGGCCTCTGCCCACCAGGCCAGGAGAGCATCAGAACCCAAGTTCAAGGGAGGGTCAACTGGACACATCAGCCCTGAGGAACATCAGCCCTGACTTGGGAAGTCTGCTCAGGTATGCCCCACCCAGAAGGGCCAGAGGGCAAAGAAACTAGTGACCTTTTTATTCATTCTGTCAAATGAATTGTCTTCTAAATTACAAACACTAAAATGTAGGCTTAGTCTTACTTGGATCTAAATATATGCTCAGAAGGAAACTGGAAGAAAAACAGAGGTTTATTTTCAGCAACTTGGACTCCTTTAAAATACACCTCTATTGTTTTGAGGTTTTTTATAGTGAACATATATGACTTTCCTAATCAAATTTTCCATTTTGAAAACAAAGCGTTGCAAATTTATCCAGGAAATATTTTCTCTTAAAGCCCAGTGGCACTCTCACACACTTAGCTTGGGGGCTCTCTGTGGACCTTCGGTCTGGCACGGCTGAGGCTGAGCTGGGTATAGCTCTGATTTGCTGCCACTCCCTAGAGCCAATTTCCCCATCCTCTGTGCAGACCCTACCCACCTCTGGGCTGGTTTTCCTCCAGGGCATTTCTGGTTTCTTCCAAGGGTGACCGTTTAGTGCTCAAAACAGGATTATTTTTAATTAACTTGTCTTTAAAAAGATCTTTGCTCAATGCCCCTGGGAGGCTAGGGAAAGGGAGGGACATCAGCTGAGAGTCAGAGGTTTCTGACCTCAACAAAGTGGTATCAAGCCCAAACCAGGTGAGGAGTCCTTGTTCTGATCCTCTGTGCCTCAAACAACATCCCCACCACTCTGGGACTGTTCATTACATGACACAGTGCCTTTCTTCTGCCCCCCTGTCTTCCAGGCAGCTTTGCTTTTCTTTGAATTTAGGATTTCCAGCATGCACATGACCCCAAACCCACCTGCTGCAGGTCTGCAGACATCATGGTGGGGATGGGGACTACACTGCCTCAGGCTGGGGGCTGGGGGACCCCTCCATGGGAAACCTGCTCCCACCCACCCATAGTTTTCACGTCGGAGGGCAGAGCCCAGCCACCACGGAGATGGGGTACAGGAGTCCAGTTCCCCTCACCTCTGTACTGCAGGATGTCCTCCGTGTAGGCCAGCATGCTGGGAAAAGTGCTGCTGAGGAACAGGCCCAGGCTCGCTGTCCCCGAGAACAGGAAGATGACATTGTAGGAAAAAATAAGGAGCACTAGGAATGTCACCACCACGCCCACCTGTCGCAGAAGTGCAGGTGATTAGAAAGTGGGCGGCCCCAGGGTACCCATGGAGGATGCACCGGGAGCCAATTTCCTCCAGCCTAGCAACAGCACCTTGGGATCGCTGCGCCACCTTCTGGCCCATCTGGGAGCTGCAGCATTCCCGGTCTGGGATCCGCAGAGGATCCCTACTGAGATACTGCTAGAAACAGAGTCCACTCAGACATCCGCGCAAACAGCCCGCCATACTGTGCTGAAGAGCCCTGGGAAGTGGATGCTGCTGTCTCCAAGGTCTTTACTGTAACCACGGAGGACGAACCCATCGAAGACATCTGTGCACCTTGCCCTGCCAGGTATGTCCGGGTGTGTGTGGTAATCCTCCACTTCTCTGGGAAGACAGAACTGCTTTCTCCTTTCCTAAAAGCCGGGAGTTATGGGGCCAAGAGTGCACATAAAATAACCAGGAAGAGCTGGAGGTGTTGGTCACGGGTCCTCACCCTCTGGAAATGTGGTCAGGTCCCCACAGGAAAAAACGACCTAGGTTAGGGCCCCTGCCACAGGCTGTCACTCCCAGAAATCTTTCTACTGCAGCAAGGGTCTCTGAACACAAACATATTTTTGTTAAAGTAACCCTGTGTCTCAGCACTTTAAAAAATTTGTTTTTCTGGTCTGGGGATTGAACTGAGATTCATATATCTGAGATAAGTACTCTACCACTAAGCCACATTCCAGCTTTTACACCTGTTTTTATGTCAATATTGAGTAATTCTACCGGGCGTGGTAGTGCATGCCTATAATCCCAGCATTTGTGCAGCTGACTCAGGAAGATCACTGTAAATTCAAGGCCAGTTTGGGCTACACAGTAAGTTCAAGGGCAGCCTGAACTGCATAGTAAGAGCCTCTAGCTCCAAATGGAAAAATAAAATAAAATTTTGTTGTCTTGTTTTGGTACCAGGGATTGAACTCGGAACCTTGAACTTGCCAGGCAAGTGCTTATTCTACTGAGCTATCTCCCCAGCCCAAAAATTTTGAGTACTTTCTATGCAAAATGCAGCTGGGAAAGAAACTGGCAGCACAAGACCTGGAGTCTGCAACCTGGTGTGGGTCCCAGCTGCCTTTACCAGCTATGGGAGCCTGACACTGCTGATCTGATGCTTAGCTCCCTGGTCTGCAAGTGAGAACAGTGACAAAAGCTGCCCACAGGCCAGGGGTGAAACAACACACACAGAAGGGCTCTGTAATGTGTAAGGCTTTGCACAAATACTGGTACTCATACTTATGTGTGGGCTTTTTTTTAAAACCCCTTTCTGGTACTGGAGATCAAACCCACGACTGCTGTACCACTGAGCTACATCCCCAGCACCTGGTCCCCTTTGAGACAGGGTCTCACTGTGCAGTTCAGGCTGGTCTTCAACACACTGTGTAGCCCAGGCAGGCCTCAAACTCACAAAAATCCTTCTGCCTCAGCCTCCAGAGTACTGAGATTGCAGGGGTGTGCCATCATGCCTGGCTCATCCCCAGCCCATTTTAAATTCTGAGAAAATATTGCACTAAATTGTTCATACCTCCCTCAAGCATGTGACCTTTTTGCCTCAGCCAAATAGCAGGGAGCACAGGTGTGTGCGACCATGCCTGGCTGCAACCCACAGCTTTAGGGGAAAATGCCACTGGGTCAAGGCTGGAGTGTGGCTCAGAAGGAAGCCCTTGTCTAGCATGCGCCAGGCCCTGAGTTTGATCCTCCAAACCACAAAATAAGCAGAAATATTCTGAGTGAGGAAATCTATCCTAGGGAAAATATATGAAAACAAGACCTAGAAAGCATGTACAGAATCACGTCTCATCCAGTCCCTATTCAGCCTTACGGATACAGAGCTGGGCAGGTAGAAAGGAGCGTCACAGCAGCTATCTCAGGCACTTCTCTACAATTGGAAGAACAAAGCCAGTGACGGTCCACAAGCCTGTGATGCCTCCCCCGAGCTCTCTGCCTTGGCTCCCCCAGCTGTCACCCAGAAGACTCGACTCCTCCCTGGAGACAGATCTGCCGTAGAGCTGCACAGCTCAGATGAGAAGCATATTCCCACACATGGAAGCTTCTTCATGTACACAGCTGTCGGAGCCGTGGACAGCCTGTGGCTCCAGCACACTGTATTTTTGTGACATGCAAAGTGGTCCGTGCTCTACTTCTCTTCTTTCCTCTTCTGCTCAATCTCCTAATGTTGGGGCCATGTAGGACCCTATTCTGGTCTTCTATCCTTCGTCTCCTCTAATCCAGCTGCTTGGTTTCAAGTCTCTGTGCCAGGGACTCTTATAGCTGTCCCTCCAGCCAGGACCTGTCTATGTCTAGAACTCTTGACTTGCATATAAAACTGCTTCGCTTCTACCAAAGTCCCTCAAACTGACCCAAACTGAACACTGAATTCCCACCAGCAGTCTGCTCATTCTCACAGCGGTTAACACCCCCACAACTCTCCCTCCTGCCCATGAGTCACGTGGAGGCTGAGGCTCTGGCGTGTGCAAAACCAGCCTCAGAAGCTGGGGCATAGCTCAGTGGTAGAGCTTGAGTAGAGGTACCACCTCTCAGTGGTAGAGATTGAGTATGTGCAAAGCCTGGCACCAACAAAAACAAGACAAGACAGAATAAGACTTGGCTCCCTCTGCAACCCCTGGCCAAGAAAAGCATTGCCGCTGGAGCATGACTGACAATTTATGCTGCCTCACAGGAGACACTGATGTCCACCCTCAACCATATACCTAACTCGTGGGATCCGTGAGGCTGCCAATACCTCAGACAAGCGCCGAGCCCCCCGTTGTGCCCTTGTCTCCAAGGGGCCTGCCAAGCTGTGGGATGCTGTCTGCTGGGCAGCCTATCCATGCTGTGAGGGCTGACACAGCGAGGAACTAGAGTATGGTCAGGCCTCTGAAGTGGAGTGAGAGTTCATGCTGTGGTGGCTGCGCTTAAGTTACATAGTGGTTAAGGACTGGCAGAGAATCTCAGGTGGAGATGTCATTGAAAGGTAAGAACTCTAAGTATAGTAAATGAGTTAGTAACTTGGCTCTCAGGGCCAGCCAAATAGCTCAGTGGATTAAAGTGCCTGCAAGCAGGTGCAGGGGCCATGGGTTCAATCCCTGGGCATGCTGTGCCAGCCCTACCCCCACTGTGTGCCGAGATGGCAATTGAGACTGGGCGTGGTGGCGTGTGCCTGTAATCCCAGCTCTTGGGAGGCTGTAAACAGGTGAATCACTTTGAGTCTGATCTAGTAGTGAGACCCTGAACATCCTGCAGACCCTTCCCTAACATATATATATATATATATATATATATATCCCAAAAAACTTGGCTGTCAGATAAAGAGAAAAACAAATAGCATCCTTGCTCCCTTTCAGATTTTGCGAGGCTGTGTGTTAAAGGTCTGGTCCCGCAGGGTGTGTGACAGGGAGGCCTTGGGTCACTCATTGGAGGAGCAGCCCTCTCCCTCTGCTTTCTCTGGCTCACCTGACACGCTTCCTGCCCTCACCATCAGGCACAGTCACCCCAGGCTCAGGGCAGTGTATCTGCCTCACTGAGGGCCAGAAGTAACAAAAGTGTGAGCCAAAATAAACCTTTCTTTCCTTACAGTGACCTCCGGTGTTTCATTACAGAGACAGCACGCTGAGAGAAACACCCCTGACTCTGCTGCTGCTCGAGTCCTGAGTCGGGAGTCCTGCCTCCTTGTCCCCTTCCTCTGGCACTCAGATATACCCCAAACACTGTAGAGCTTTCCCACGTCTCCAGTTCTCTCCTGATGCCCCACTGCACACCTCCCTCTCTAGCCTGGACTGCACAGCAGATGCCTCATGGTCCCTGGGTGCACCTTGACCCCCCAACAGTGGCTCCCATGGACCAGGAAGGCATTGTTTAAATGCACTGCAGGGGCTGGGGAGATAGCTGAGCTGTCTAAGCACCTGCCTGGCAAGCGCAAGAACCCGGGTTCAGTCCCTGGTACCACATGCCATGTCAGCCCCAGAATCTTGAGCACCCTGTTCCAGCCACTGAAACTTGACATTAGTAATGTATGCCTCTAATCCCAGTGCTGGGGAGGCTGAGACAGGAGAATCACTACAAGTCCAAGCTACATAATGAGACCCTGTATAAATAAATAAAGATTTTCTTAAAAACTTAAAATAAATAAATAAATGCGCTGTAGGTCAAATCCATTCTCTGTTTGAAAACTTCTGACAATTTCCTGCCCACTTAGTGTACAGTCCAAAACCTGGATTACAGATGTTCCCAGGATTTAGCTTCAGCCCATTTCTCAGCCTCATCATCTACGCCATTTTTGTCCCTCATAATCTGGCCTCAACAGCCACCCCTCTCAAGGGCCTTCAACCCGACAGGGCTCTCTTCCTGTACCAGGGCTTGTACCATCTAGAGAGAGCCGGCGCAGCGCAGGCGAAGCTGCTTCTGCACCTCCCTCAACGTGGCCACCCCTGAGGTCAGTGTGATTGAAAAGTGAATGTCTATTATTTATTTATCTGTCTTTTTGTGATAGGGTCTTGCTATTTAGTTCAGGCTGGCTTTGAGCTCACTTTGTAGCCCAGGCTGGTCTTGAACTCACAACAGTCCTCCTGCCTCAGTCTCTCAAGTGCTGGGATAATAGGCAGGAGCTACCAGGACCAGCTGAATGTTAAATTTTTTAAAAAATTATCACAGTAAAACTGCAATATTCCCCTCAGGGTACCCCTCTGTCTTCCAACACACTTATTCTATTGCTCCTGTAGCTTTCTGAAGCAGTTTGGGAGCTCTCCTTCATGAGTGTCTTTAGCTGTACTATACGGCCACCTCAGTGTTCTGAACTGATTTAGAATGTTTCCCTTTCATGGTCATTTTGACTCTGTAGAAGGGCCAGCAGTCACACAGTGTCAGGTCTGGTACATTAGAGATGAAGGCATACACTCATGTCTTTATGAGCCTGCTTTTCCATTGGATGAGCAGTATTCACCATATTTCTGATCACGCCTCATAAAGACACTCATGAAAGAGGATTTCCAGAACTGCCTCGGCAAGTAGAAAGATTGAGCCACGAGTGGTGGCTCACACCTGTAATCCCAGACTCAGGAGGCTGGGGCAGGAGGATTGCCAAGAGGCCAGCGTGGGCTAACCGGTGAGTTCAAGGCAGCCTATAATACATGGTGAGACTGTCTCATAAAAACCAAAGCCAAAGCAAGAACGATGGGATAAGCAGGCTCAAAGCAGGGTAGTATTCTGAGGGAGATTAATGGCAACATGCCCTTTACTGTAATAGTTTATTTTTATTTAAACATTCATTGTATATTTTGATTTCATCTCATACCAATCATGCATCACCAGGCAAACCTCCAAGCCAGTCATCCTGAAAATCTCTCAATTTGGGGGCATTTGAAAGACACTACCTCCCTCACCTTAGCCTTGGTGACAGAAGACTGGGCATGTCCACAGCAAGCTGGGCTGTGGTCTGCCGAGGACTCTCCTCCCTCAGCCTCAGCCAGTGACCCCCACACCCCAGCAGACTGCTGCCCCTGGAGACTGGGCCTGGCCTTACAGAACCTGTGGCCATTTCCATACTGACCCACACAGGGAGCAGGCACTGAGTCAGAAATGGTTGTTGAGCCCCAGGGGACTGCTAGGACAGGGTGACCAGTCACGTAACCCTGACAGGCAGTCTTGGAAGTGGTCACAGTGAATGTGCCACCACTTCCTCCCAGCTGTCGTGGAGGGAGACTCACTGGGCTGGGCAGCTGTGGTTCCCAGACCACGCCTGGCAGTGACAAAAGCTTCTGCACAGCCTGCAAGACGCCACTGTTAACGCCAGGCCAGTGTCTGCCCACACTTGCTCCATGGTATGAGGCCTGAGGGTGTTTGTTAAATCTCTAGATGGCCAACCCGCTCCAGGATGTTGATTCACCCAGTATGCCCTGGGCCCAGGATCTCATTATCCTTTTTAAAATCAGCCTTCCAGGCAGCATGTTTGCTGGGTTTGGTTTGCTGTTGTTTTGGGACAGGATTTTGCCATGTAACCTAAACAGGCCTCAAACTTTAGATTTTCCTGCCTCAGCCTCCAGAGTGCCACCTTGCCCAGTTTCAGGTGGGTTTTCAGAGGCAGTGCCTGACACACAGACTGTTCACACTTTGTTCATTCCCTCAAACCTACATCGTCATCTCCCTCCTCAGCAATAGGTCTTGTGTCCTCTCTGGAGGAGGATGCTGAGGCTGGCCACTGTGAGTGCCTGGCCTTTTCCTCCCTGTGCTGCCCCTCGGGAAGTCTGGAATCTTTCTCCATCCCAGCATGCTTTGCTCCAGCTTCCTCTCTTCCTGAAGCTCAGCTCTTTCCCCTGCTCTGCACCCTCCGCATCCCAGGGCCTTCCTCACTCAGCTCCTCTCCGTCCTTGGCATCCTTTGGCCTTCTTCCTTTTATCCCCTGCGGAGTCCGAATCCTGCTGAGCAACCCCATCTGAGAATTGAGTTCAGAGTGGAATCTGCACATACAGTCCATGCCCCATCGCCTCTGACCCCAAGCCACTGGGGTTTCACTCCTACCCACCCAGCTCTCTCTACAGGAGACTGAGATGTTTTCCCTGCAGATCAGCACCTAGCCCAGGCCAAACCCAAGGTCTCCTGCAGCCTCAAGGTCTCTGTGGCTCTAACATTCTGGCCACAACCCCTTCTCTGTGAGAAGCTCAAAGGAGGAAGAAAATTTGTATGGTGGATGGGGCTACCTGGAAAAGTTGTGAGCACCCAGTCACTGCAGGTGTCTAAGCAGAGATCAAGGAACCCTGGGACAGGATATCCCAGAGGTGCATGAGGTCTTGGTTGGTGCTGAGTCTGGTGATCCTGCAGGTGACCTTGTCCTCTGAACCTGTCTGCTGTGGCTCAAAAGAAGTACCTCAGGGCAGGACCCTGACCCACACTCGGAACCATTCCTAGTCCAGGCAGATTGCTCCCTTGAAGGTCATCAATTCAGCAGTTTTGAGTTCCCGAGAGAGCAAATTTCAGCCTCAGTTCAGTGGTGCTGATTCTAAAGGCTGGGAGATCTTGGGTCACCACTGGGCTCTGACAGGTGGGCAGCACCCACAAGAGGACCCTCACCAACACCTGCTTCCTTGTGTTCTAGCAGCTGGCAGCTGGAGTCTGTTCCACAGTACTTATGCTTGTAAGGGCTCAAGGTCAGGAGCCCAGAGAGGGGAAGTTACTTTCCAGGGTCACATGGGCAGTCTCCACCTCCCAGGTTCTCTCTCCTTTGATCCCTCATTTTACCTTTCCTCCAGGTCAGCAGAGTCCAGTCCCAAGCACACATCCTGGGCCAGCCGTGGGTCCAGGAGACGTGCTCTGGGTGCTGAGGTAGAACACAGCCACCCTCCTAACTCACCAGATTGATGAAGACCATGGTGGCTGGCCTCATTCTGGAGGAGACAGGAATGGAGATGAGCCGACCCAGTGTGATGAAGCCCCAGAAGAGGCTGGGGAGGTAACCTGCCACCTTGTGGCCAACAGACAGAGGCTTCTCCACTGCGTAGCTGTACACAAAGGCTGAATACGCCCCCTGCAAAGAGACCAGGCCCCACTGAGCATGCACAGGACAGCACAGGGGCTGAGGGAGGAAGGACAGCCCTGCCCCAAGCCCTGCCCCCAAGATCATCCAGCATACTCAGGACCAAGCTGCGACAGAATCTGGGGTGCTGCAGCTTACAGCCTGCACTTTGAAGATGGAAGGGCACCCCAGGGTGTCATTGGGTCCTTATAGGAGGGTGTCCCTGTGGGGAATATCAGACACACTCTGTTCCATAGCTTTGAAAAAAAAGTATGCACGAGCATCTCATTTAACAGATGAGTGCACAGGGTAAGTGACTCACCCAAGCGACCCAAGGTCACCCTGAGAGGGGGAAGCCAACCAGGCTTTGCAAGTACTTTTTACTGGGTCATCTGGGTTTTTAGGACCTTCTCTCTGGGGGTTCCCTCAGGTAGCAAGCCGCTCAACGTTGTCCTGATCTATCCTAAAAGGTTTCTGGGGAAAGGCACTAACCAGCGTGGCTGGCATAAGCTGCAGGGCCCAGCTCCAACCTGTAGCTTGGAGAGCCAGAAAGCAAAGGGCCCTGCACTCACTGTAACTGGGGGAGCAGAGCTCTGCCACTTTAAAACTGGGGACATCTGTGATCAGTGAAAAACAGGCTTCTGTGTAGAAGATAAGAGAAATAAGCCCACTCAGCCAGCACGGAGCCCAGCAATGGTCTGTGTGCAATTCCAGACAGCCGCTGCCGGAGGGTGACTGCGCATCAGTGAACTGCAGCAGGCTGTTGCCATTCCCAGGCTCCATGTGAGATCAGGAGGGAGCACCTGGGAGCAGCTCACCGTCATCCCATCTGTCATGAACAAGACCAGGGCAGCTGTGACGTGGATGGCAAAGAAAGAGCAAGGGGCTCCCCGGAAGTTCTTCCTCTGGCAGCAGCTGAAGAGGTCCTCATGCCCTGGGGGAGGTGCAGGAAGGGCAGGGGTGAGTCTCCCTCTACTCCCCTCCCTGGCACCAGCCAAGGAAGCGGCTGGTGGTCAGAAATATCCTCTACCTTCTGTAGTTTCCAGCCTACCCATTAAGAGCAGCCTCAAAAAAAAAAAAAAAAAAAAAAAAAAAAAGAGCAGCCTCTGTCAGCCTTGCAGTCCTGGTGGAACCAGAGCAATCAAGTGACTTGCCCAAGTCACACAGGCGGGATGGACAGAACAGAGGTCAGAGCCAGGGGTCTGCCGTCCTCATTCCCTTGACCAGCTGCCCCTCTCCCGCCCTCCAGACTCCAGGGCCAAAGTGTTTCTAATCCTTATCACCTGTGATCAGGGTCACCTATCTGGGGTAGGGTAGCCAGGGAAGCCTCTAGGCCAGGCTGTAAGCTCAGATGCTCACTAGTACCCCCACCTTGGTGTGGCTGGAACTTTGAGGACAGTGAGGTGTCTTCCTTCTCAGGAGGCCGGGTCTCCAGGGCGAGCTCGTCTGCAGGCAGCAGGAGGGGCTTGCGCTGAGTGTAGCAGGTCAGCAGCCGCTCCTTGGACAGCAGGAACAGCACAGCCATGGGCACTGGAAGCTGGAGGGCAGCAAAGGGTCAGGCAGCCTGCTGTCCCCTTCCCTAGCTCTCTGTGTGGTGAATACACATGCTGGGTGTGCAGGGTCCTGGGAGAAGCTGGCTTTTTCCCAAGGTGCCACCTCACTGGAGAGCCATCCCCATCCAACAAGTCATGTCCTTGGGCTTCAGCACACCTACTGCCCTTAGAAGATAGTCTTTCAAAATCTGACTCACTCTGGGAACCCAGAGAGGCACCAGGGTAACTTGTTTCCAACATCCTGCTTCTGAGCAGTGCCTCAGCCTAGCACCTCCTGTCCCTGGGCACAGCGGGTCATACATGCTGGGCAGGACAGCTTAGCCTTTGTCCATCACAGCGCTATGCAGTGTGCAACTGAGACTCAAAGTGATCCCCTAGTCATGTCCTGCTAGAACCGGGAGGTCAGCTAGAGAAGCAGGAAGGGAAGCCTCCCCTCCACGTAGCTGGCTTGGGCAGAGTTAGACTGGAAGCTGGCAGCCTGATTCTGCCCAGCAGTGTCTCTGCCTCAGGGGAGCCTGGCCATGCTAGGTACTAGGTAGGTATCTTTACTGGAAGATACCAGCATGGGCTCATCGCCATGGACAAATGCATGTTTACAAGCTTCATGTGCACAGCCAGTGTTTAGCTCCCTACCTGTTCACTCAGCCACTTGGACCGCCCTGAACTCCCCAGAGCAATGGGTACAGTCTCCTGCTCTGCTGTTGCCTGGAGAAGCTGCCACCACCTCCCTCAGGCGCCACTGCCTGGGCCTAATCACCCTCGAGACCATGTAGTTCTTTAAAGTCTAACCACTGCCCTTCTTGCAGAAGCCTCTGCCCCCAGCCTTTTTGCTGAGGAAGGAGAGGAGGCCCAGGGAGCTGCAGAGAGTTTCAGGAGGCCAGTGAGCCAAGCCAATCAATGGCTGGGACAGATGGAAGCCAGACAGGCAGCCAACCGCAGCCCCTCACCCTCTCTTAGGCAGATGTGAGCATACCAGGCTGGCAGACAAAATCTACCCAGCCCTGGTTGATACCTCTATGGGTGACTTTGAGGGCTTTCCTGCACAGTAAGGAATGAGTTAAGGTCACTGAGCTCCTGGCAGCTGCAAAGCCACAAATGGGTTCCTAGTGGAGTTCCAGGGCCCATGGGGCAGAACAGCACTTCCTGCAGTTCACTGGGTTAACAGGAACACCACCCCCCCAGCCCTCCACGGAGGCCTACAGTAGTTGAATGCCTGGGTGATGGCCAAGGGGAAACAGCTGTAAGAGAGGTGTGAGCTCTTGGGTGGGGCTTTCCAGGCAGGTGGGTGGAAGGGAACACTTCACAGAGGATTGGCTGGTGCTGCTGGCAGAAACCTGCCCATCTTTCGGGGAAGGCAGTGCCACCTTGAAAATCCACTACCTCCAGCTTAGAAGTGTGTGTGTATGTGTGTGTATGAGCACACCCTAAGTGCAGGTTTGGCCACATTCTCCCTTGCAGTGGACTCTTTATTCTCAGAAACAAACCAGTGGGAAAAATCCGGAAACCCTGCTGCAAATGAAGTTCCGTCTGTGTCTGTTGTAGGGCAAGAAAACAGGGCCCTGGGCTTAAGTAGGGCCTTCTGCTTCTTGGTGGCAGAGGCCCAGCCTTGATGAGGACCATGCCCTTCCCTTCCCAGGTCTCCCTTGGGAGACACAGGCCTCAAAGCAGTGGAGGGGTGGGCAGGGGTAGGGTCTCCCAACAGGCTTGCCACACCAGGCTCAGCTAATATGGGGAACCCCTCTTGGGTTTTGGAGGAGGATTCCAGATGGAGGCCAGAGTCCCTGCTGCCTTGGCTGGGGCTGCAGAAGGACCCTTGGCATCTGAGCCAGGCATAGAGTGGGTGTTCTTGCTGCTCAGCCCTCACCACAGGCTGCCATGACAGACAGGGCCCCTCAGAAAGCACCTGTCAATCCCCAGCCTCCAGCAGAGCACCCTAGCAGCAGGGCACAGGAGACCCCCCAGTGAATGCTGCCAGAGAAGAACCCGACACTGCCTTGGTCTGTCCAGGGGCTACTCTGTGTAGCAGTAGAGGGACAGAGCTGGCGCCCCACCTAGCCTCAGAGGGCTTGCAAGTGAGCCCTGACTTTCACCAAGCTAAAGCTGCTCACAGTGTGCTTCCTTTTTTTTTTTTTTTTTTCTGGTACTGGAAATTGGACGCAGGACCTTGCGCTTTCCAGGCAGGTACTGTGCCACTGAACATCACTGCTTCCTTGAGAACTGCAATCACAGAAGTCACTGAGGAGAGACCTCACCAGTGACACCCAGGAGAGTGGATTCTCCCACCCTCCAGCCTCCTGGCCACATTTCTCAGATCTGAAAAACCTGCCTGGGGAGGTGGACGGCTTGGCAGTTGTGGACTATCCACCAGCTCCCTGCCCAGCCTACCCCAGCAACACTCACATTGATGAGGGCCATGATCCAGAAGGCATAAGACACGCGCGTCTCCGCCCCACCCTTAGGGGCTGGTCCAGGGAGCGTCTGGTTGGGCTGAGGCTGCACTGCCACATGTTGCTGGCCTAGGACCCGGGCGGCGTGGAACAGGTGGCTTCTAGAGGAGATGTTAGCCGTGCTGTTGGTAGGAAAGCAGTTGGTCTCAGACAGGAAGGGGTCGGCGATCAGGGGGCTCAGCAGAGCGCCAAAGCCCACGAAGAAATGAAGCACCTGCAGGAAGGTAGGGGGTCTGGATCAGTCTTCCAGCCCAGGAAGCTGTAGTGAGGACAGATTCCTACCCAGAGGGTGTCACTTCTCCTCTGACCCTGCTTCCAGCCCCTGTCTGGTCCAGAGTGGGTGGAAGAGGGGTGGGGTTAGGAAGCGGGAGAGGAGAGGGAGAGTCAGGAGTAAAGCCCCCACACCCTCTCTCCAGGCTTTTGGCACCATGGACGACAGTGGCCAAGCCCCTAGCTCTTTTCTCCCAGGCCTTAACTCCCCATGAGGGCTGGGGTGTCTACCAGCTAACACCCCACAAGCACAGCGTCCTTGTAGCATTTTCCCTCAGATCTCTCCTCAGCCTTGGGGTACTGTGGGCAGGATCAAGAACAGGCAACCAAAGCCCAGAGGCCCGAGTGGTTGCAGATGTGGCCCTCTTGGAAAGTGGCCAGCCTAGGCTTCGTCACCACATCACCACATTGGCCCAGAGGGACTCCTGGTCAGGAGCTGGGAGAGAGGGAGGGCCTGGCTAGGGAGCGTCCCATGCTGTGCCAGCCCCAACCTACTGCTCACCTGGAGGAAGATAGCTGAGTCCTTCTGGTATATCCTCACCAGCTGCATGTTGGCCACTGTGTCAATACAGCCCATGGCCAGTCCCGCCAGTGCCATGACCAAGGCCAGCACCTTCACATCTCGGCAGAAGGGGATGACAGCAAACACCAGGGAGATGGCCAACGTGGAGGTGAAGAGGGCCCATAACGACTGGGCCAGGCTGGAGTGGGAGGGTGATGTCAGTAGAGGGGCCTAGAGCCTTCCAGTAGGATACCCTTTTGTGTCCTCCCCTGGCTAGACACTTCCTCACCCACTGGGGGGAAGAGAAGGGAGCTGAGGGAGCTTGTGGCTCTCGTTAGCTGTGGATTGTGGGCAAGTTGCCAAACATGCCTGCATCCTCCGAGAACAGCCCCCACTGTGAGACCGTGGAGCCAGGCACAATGGCACAGGCCTGTGACCCCAGCACTCTGGGAGGCTGAGGCAGGAGGACTGCAGGTTCTTACCCAGTCTGGGCACCTAGATAACCTAGTGAGACCCTAGCTCAAAATTGTAAGGGAGATTTATTTTTTTGTTTTTGGTGTCAAGGAACAAACTCAAGGCTTCCAGCTTGCTAGACAAGCATTCTACCGCTGAGCCAAATCCCCAGCCCCCCTAACTCAAAATTTTAAAAGTAAAAGAGGGCTTGGGATACAGGTCAGGGCGAAGGCCCTGGGTTCCATCCCCAGTACTGCCAAAAAACAAACCAAAATAAATAAATAAAGAACACAGATGCTGGGCAGGGACTCTGTGGAATTGGGCAATTTACAGCCCTTAGCCACTATTATTTTATTCAGTGTTCTACTGCTTAACACATTCCTGCTGAGTGGAACCACCCACTAGGACTGTCCTATGCTCCCCGAGATGAACAGTCATACATATGGCACTGGTGGTTCAGAGGAGCCTGGCAGTAAGACAGTTACACCTTAAACTCTTTCCACATAAACAGCTTTAAGCATAAACATTCCCTTGTCACCTCAGGAAGCTGCTTGGGGCATCTTCAGGACACTGTCACTGCCTCCAAGGGCAGTGGGACCCACAGTGGAAGTTGAACCCAACATCCCCAAACTGAGTCCTTTTGCACAAGGGTGAGGCTGCCGCAGTGTGCCTCCCACCTAGGAAAGGGCAAGAGGCCTGAGCCGCCAGCACCAAAACCCAAAGCCTGGCACGGGGGCAATGTGGTGACACCCTTAGCAGGCCAAGGACCTGGTTTCCCTATGAGGGGAACAGAAGGGGTGGCTGAGGCTTATTAAGGACATTTGAGACCTTCTGCCCCATTACCAGACCCTCAGAGGAAAGATTACAGACTTGTATTTTCTGGGTTGAGGATGTAGCTCAGTGGAAGAGCCCTTGCCTAGTCTGAGGGAGGACCTGGGTTCTATTCCTCACCCTGCAAATTTAAAAAGAAGAAAAGACGGTGACTTGTATTTTCTGGGACCAGTCTGAAAGGCTTATGTTGGGGTAGAGTGGGGTCAGAAGGAACCATGGCTCTGGAGGAACTTTCTCAGATTATGAAAAGCAGGTGAGGTGGGTGGCACCGGAAGACCTCTGAGAGCTTCCAGCACACTGTAGAGGAGGTGCAAGCCCTTGAGACCCTGCAGACTGTGTCTGTTGCAGACTGCTCTGGCTCCCTCTGTCATCCATCTCATCTGCCCCACATCTGATTAAATCCTTTATCAGAGAGCTCTGCTGATAGCAGCAGTTCGTTATTTTCTCTTTTCTTGATTCCAGGCTGATCGGTTGGGGGAGATTACTGTTCATGACCTCAGCCTGTTCCCAGCTCAGATGGGGAGGAGGGGCTGCATAGAGACCTGGGTTAGAAGGAAATGGAGAGGAGGACTGTGATGTGGGGAGGCCTGTTCAGGTCCCTCGGGCTCAGGCTTGTCTGGCTCTCCCTGGTGGCCCTGCTCTGAGCTCTGCAGCACGACCCCCAGGTCACACTGCCCTTCCCCCTAAGGCTCACTGTGCCTGCTGCCCTGAGGCAGCCACATCTCCTTTACCTCCTCCTCTGTGTCAGAACAGAAGTGATGGCAACCTCTCTAAACAATTCCCTCCTTGCCCTTTCCCTGCACAAGGTGGTCCAACTTCAGAGACAGTCCCCCCAACTATCTCCCTCCCCGCTGACCCTAGGAAAGAGGGATCTGACATTTCTACCCTCTCTGCACTTTGAAGTAAGGCAGACATGCCCCAACTCAAGTGCAAACACTCTGGAGGAATGAACACACACTCATCATGGCTCTAGAACACTTGGGCAAGGGATGGTAGCATAAGTCAGTAGTAGAGCTCTTACTGAGCATGCATGAGCCCTTGGTTCCATTCCCAGTACCCCAAAGAACAAAAAAGTCCGGGGTGGAAAGCAGACCAAAATCAGCCGTGAGTCATGTGGCAAAGGACCTTGGATCAGTAAACTACGACAGGAAGGAATTGTGGGGACCTGAGGGAGAGGGAATGATGGATAAGGATGAGCATCTTAGTTTACAGGAGGAAACACTATCGTGTATAATGTCCTGGGCATTTGTCACACATGACAAGGTTGTGCAGTAGACTCCGTGCCCATTTTACTCATGAGTAAACTCTACCTAGGAAGTGCTAAGAAAGTAGCTGGCAGACTCTGGATCCTACCCTGGTCTTTTGGCTGTACTGGTGGGTATGCTGGCAGAGCTGCAGCCAGCTCGCGCAGAGCCCCGAGTGGCAGGACTGAGGTGCTGGAGAGCTGCTGTCATTTCTAGAACCTGCACCTGCTGGTGACCACAGCTCTGGACGTCTGAGGCTCTAACGCTGGCTCACTGCCGGCTTCCTCATTGGCACCACGTATGGTCTGAGGTGCCCAGTCCATGCTCCTGGATAGTGCTGGTGACGTGGACTGGGCTGGAGGAGGCCCACATGGGGTGGCCCAGGCAAAGAGACAGGAGCCCGGCAGGAGGCTGACGTGGGAGTCCCACTAGATTATCTGATAGGAGTGGCCCTGTCAAGGAAGGGAAAATGTAGGCGGCCTTCCAAGAAGGCACAGGGTGGAATTGAAGGAGACTTGGGGGCTGAAAAGGGGCCCAGGTGCTCGCCACAGGCTGCCCTGCCCTAGCCTCTTCTCATTTGGACCCTTGCACCTTGTTATTCTTGAGAAGAACAGCAGATGCCCCCAAGGGACTTTTTCTGGTCCCTGGCCCTTGACAAAAGGAGGCAAGTGTAAAGGAATCCCCTCCCTGTGCCTGCTACCAGGTCACTCTGTCGGTTGTGACTTGGGACCGATGTTGCAGCAGCCAGTGGCAGGAGGGCTGCTGCACTCATCCTTGGCCGGGGCTCTTGGGAGCCAGGGCTGTGGAGCCTTGTCCTCAGCAAACGGGGACATTTATAGCCGGAAATCTTTTTCTCTGGATTCCAGGCTGCCCACACTTTGCAGTTGCTTCAGCAGGGCGGTGCCTGAGCATTCCAAAAATCATCCTGAACAAATTTCTTTAGAATGAGATGTGGTTGCCAAGAAAGAAAGAAGTTCCAGATATATCTCTGAGCCTGAGTGGAATCCAGTGATTGCCTGTGTTAAATGGCTTCGTCAACGGTTTCTTCCAGGAACGTGGGTAATTGGAAATTATGGAAATAATATTGTTGGGAGTGTGGGCATCGAGGAGGTAATGGGATTTGTGACCGGAAGATTGGCTTGTAGCCCATCTGCCACTTCCTGTGGTGTGGCCCAGGGCAAGCTGCTTACACTCAGCCCCTCTGAGCCTCACTGTCTGCTGTCATAAAGTGGGGATGGCAAGCTCTGCCTCCCCAAGTTGCTCAGCAGCTCCCCACCCCCATGCTCAGCCCTCCATGTGGGCCCTGGGCTCCCCCAAAAGAACAATGCTGGGCTCAGAACACCATGCTCAACAGAAAGAACTCAGGAGTTAGTGCCAGGGCTCCTGGGTGCCCTGCCCCCTAGGCCTACTCCAAACCTTAACTCTGCACCCTCTGCAATGACCCTGAAAGGCTGGTCCATGAACCAGGAGGGACACCTGCCACTGCCCACCCTGGGTTAGCTTGGGCCTCTTAGAACAGTCTCACTCCCCAATGGCCTGGGGAAGACCAGAAAACAACACAGACAGTCTAGGAAATATGTGTCAGAGTACCTGGAGATGACTGAGTTACCTATTAACGGCCCCACACAGGTGCAGGGGGCAGGTGCAATCGGGGAGCAGAAAGGTGGGAACCAGGTCCTCCTCCCCCACTCCGGCTGTGACTCTGCTGGAGTCACCTGCCCACCACATTTGCTGTGTGCCCTTGACATATGGCTGACCCCTCTCAGCCCTGGTGCTCTGCCCTGCCCAGACAACATGTGACCGCCTTAACCTGGCCCTGCCTTGAGCACCTGCTCTCCTGGGCTGCATGGTGCCAAGTGGAGCAAGAGCCCGAGCAGCCAGATGCTCCCTGCCTGCTCCTGCCCTCCACCCCAGGGTAGGGAAGACGCTGCTGGGGCCCTGAGGCTGACCCGTGCCACCCTGGGTGGGGCCAGCGCTGGGACACAGACGCTTTGGCTCAGGAACTCTATGCAGCAGGGATACCAAGGACTTTTTTCCCTCCTTCCCTGCCCAGCTGTACAACCTCTTTGAAGGATCAGAGAAGAAGAGAAGAGAGGAAACAGGGCTTCGGGGAAACGGCAGGTATAGGTGGCCCCAACCGCTACCTACCCCAGAAGGGGTGAGACAACACAGGGTCCTAGGACAAGCCACCATGAGACAGGGGACCCTGGGAGCAAGGACAGGTTAGCCTAAAGGGGAAGAGGCAGGGCTGAGGGAGAGAAGGCCACTTGGGCACCCTCAGCCTGAACACTGAGGCCTCTGTGCCTGCAAGGCCCACCTGTGTCAAGGCTAGGTGCATCCAGACTGGCCAGTCTGTGGGGAGATCCCAATCTGTGGAGGACGACCCTTTACACTCAGGCTGTGCACAAAGACGTCCCAGGACCCGCTGAGGTGCCAGGCACACCAGAGGCCACCTCAGGCCTTCTGCCCAGGTGCCTTTCCCCCAGTTCTCGGCATGCTTGGCTCCCTCCTGCCACCCAGCAGCCAGCTCTAATGTCACCTCTGAGGACTTCCCTGCGCACCACCCTGTGCTAGGGGCCTGTTGTTGTCATTCCTGCCCCGCTTGGATTCCTTCATCTTGCTGCCTAAAGTCACCCTTCAAAGGGAAAGCTGTGTGAGGTCAGGCTTGGCT